TACTTCTAGACCAGTACACCTTGGACAGTGAATACATCAAGCGAAACCTTGGTGAGCTATCTCCGATACAGGAGTCTCGTCTGCTACAGCTTAGGAAATGGATAGCGGACCTCCAGAAAGGAAAGGTAATGTGTATTCGTCTCTAGTTTATTTTAATAAAACGATCTGAAGTAATTGTTCGATTACATGGTTTGGAGTGTCCGTGCTATAAATTTCGTTATTATATTCTCTTACTAATAACAAGTCAGTTGTTCTGAAAGAATTTTTCGTCAGAAATAATTGTATATTCATGATTATAATACCTAAACATTTTTTATCTTTTTGCTTTTTTAGGTTCCGAGCGATACGACTCTCCTCCGTTTCCTTCGAGCGAGAGACTTCAACGTTGAAAAGGCAAGAGAGATGCTCTCACAATCTCTCCTTTGGCGCAAGAAGCACCAGGTCGATAAGATTCTCTCTGAGTACGAGACACCGGATGTCGTTACACAGTACTTCCCTGGTGGCTGGCACCACCATGATAAAGGTGGGACTTGAAGGTTTTACTTTTTATTTCTTATATTTTACTTTATAAATTACTAGCTGTGCCCGCGACTTCGTTCGCGTGGAATAGTGACTTGGGGTAGAATTTTTAATTATTTAAGCTGTTTATTAATTTATTTAATTGCGCATTTATCGCAGCCAACCTATATTGTAAGTGCTACTTTTCCGCAACACTCTCACCTCACATCACTCCTACTCTAACTCCCACTCCCACTCTCACTCCCATTCCCACTCCGACTACCATTCACAAAAAGCCAAAGAAGAAAGTTTTATCGTACTAGCTTCAAAAACAACGAATTTCCATACAAACTTTCACCCCCTCCCCCGTTTAGCCTTACAACCCCCTTTTCGCAATAAAAAGTTTTCGTATTCGCCTATGTTCTTTCTTAGGGTCTAGATCATCTGTGTACCAAATTTCATTCAAATCCGTTCAGTAGTTTTGGCGTGAACGAGTAACAGACAGACAGACGGAGTTACTTTCGCATTTATAATATTAGTATGGCTTAGTAAGGATTATTATTAAATATGTTTGACTTACAAAAGGTAACACAATGTATAAATTTTCAGATGGTCGTCCGCTGTACGTCTTGCGTCTTGGGCAAATGGATGTAAAGGGACTTCTCAAGTCTATTGGAGAGGATGGACTTCTTAAGTTGGTAAGAAAACATTTTTCTAACTTTACTGCTACACGTAAGTTGTGTAACTTAGCATCTAATTTTATACCCATTGCCACTAGTGTTTTTTTGAACTGATCTTAAATAAATGTTTACCTTTTGCAGACTCTTCACGTTTGTGAGGAAGGTCTGAAACTTCTAGAAGAAGCAACTCGGTCTTCGGAGCATGCTATTCTCTCTTGGTGTTTGCTGGTAGACCTGGACGGACTGAACATGCGACACCTTTGGAGACCTGGCGTTAGAGCTCTACTCAGGATCATTCAGATAGTTGAGGCGAACTATCCCGAGACGATGGGTAGAGTGCTGATTGTCAGGGCTCCAAGAGTGTTTCCGATTTTGTGGACTATTGTGAGCACGTTTATTGGTAAGTTTGCAAAAACGATAATTGCTATTTAAATAAAACACTTAAACGGTTTAAAACGTGATCTATATTAGTTGAACTTGACAACTACGATATATACTAGTAAGACTTGATACTGACCCTCCCCGTGACCAGCCCGTCGGGCTTTAGTTAAAATAATTTACAAACAAGTTTAACTGATATATAATACGTTTTACACCGATAAAGTGTTTTATTTAAATGTGTACTACTCGCGTAAACTACAGACAGTAGATCATTACTGATTCATCGATTAATGTTATTACACAAGTAATTAATTCAACGTAATTTTATAACTAGGAGTGAATTAAAGTTTGCTTTACTGGTCATACTTATTTTGAAAGCCTTTAATTTAGTATTAACTTAATTTATATTTTCTATTGTCCAGATGAAAACACTCGCAGTAAGTTCTTATTCTATGGCGGTAAGGACTATCTGCAAGCTGGTGGTCTCCTCGACTACATACCGAAGGATATTATTCCGGATTTCTTAGGGGGGCCTTGCAAGGTACTACACTTTGACCGCTAATATTTCTTAATTGTATTAATGACGATTATAAGATAATCTTCAATTTTAAAGTCTTCTTAATTTGTGTTCGCTCGTTTTGTGTACTACGGCAGTCGGACATAGTAGAAGTATCGTTGTTCGTGCCTCGCCGATACTACCAATACGTACGACACGTGAGACTCAATCAATTTACGTGCAAACGTGGCGTCATGTATTGTCAGTATTCGTACAGTTCTTGTTGATTAGACGTTAACAGCGCTATCTATAATTTGAAACTAAAATCTCAAATAATAGATGGCGCTGTTAAACGTTTTGTAATCTCGTCTCACATACAAATAAAATATACTCTTATTTATAGCACATTTAATGTTAGATACTCTATTATAGGCAAATCTCTTTTTTACTACTTTAGAATGCTCACAAACACAAAAAATGCACAGCTTCACTGCTTAGATTCGATTTAAACGTGTCTTTCATTCATTGATATTGAATACGTCAATACCAAAAAATTTTCTGTATATTGTTTTAATATTTCAGAGTTTTGTACACGAAGGCGGTTTAGTTCCGAAGAGTCTCTACGTAAGCGGTGCTTTTACTGAACGAGAAGGTGACCCGCTATCTGAAGACAGCATATACAGATCTGTTAGTCTGGCTAAGGGACAGGTAAACAGACGAAAAAAGTTTGCCTACACTTAAGTATTATGGAAATCATAAAATCGTTTTTTAATGTCAACCAAAACTTAATTAGCTTTTTGTCATAACCTTACAAAAATGAAGAATTCTTTCTTCTTCTATATAATGATAAAGAGAATATTTTCAACTAGTATCAATATATAATTGTATTAAAATAATATTTGCAGGTGCACGAAGTGATAGTAGTGAACCGAGACCCCCAGAGCGTGCTAACGTGGGACTTCGACGTGTTAAGACACGACATCTCTTTCACTGTGTTCCGTACAGACCGGGAGATCGACCAGAGTGATCAGACGGACCATGCAGCCGGTCAGTTTTTGTATTTATTTACCGAACCTCTAAGCATAACAGTTTGGTATCGGTTTACGCGAGTGGTGCACATTTAAGTGAAACACTAAACTAAATTACTTAATTTTTTATTCAATTCAACGACGGCCCCATGTTTCGGATGCTTTCCATTAGTCGTGGTCACTGGGGACTGAAGGTGGAGGGTGTCCTTAATGTACAAGTCGAAACGGCTACGCTAGCGATATCTGAAAAGAACGTCGTGCCTAGTACTTTAATTAAATGCGTAGTTTAATTAGATTAAAAATAAGTTAACATTATAAGGATAAAAAAATTTATTTGAACAAAACAGCTCTTGTGCCAACTGATTAAATCAAAAATTATTTATTAACTAACACAAATTACTTACCAATCAATTTGGTTCAATACAGTACTCCATAGACTAAAAATATCTTCTTTATAATTATGCCGATTGTTAATCTTTTTAAGATTAAAACATGTCAAAAATAGATTATAATTAGTGCTATTGATTTCAGCTGTATGCGTCGGTGGCGCGGCCGCAGAGGAAGGTCGGTCTGTGTTGGAGGAGCGCGGGTGGCGGGAGGGGGAGCACTACCAGCGAGTCGAACCCGCACTCATCTGTCACGATGGAGAGAGCATACAGGTTAGAATCTGCCAATGATCGTAAAGTTTAAGCTAATACGTACATTGTTCCCTGGTTATATATATATTTCATTTTGTTCTTTATTACAAGGTGATAAGATATAAATTGCCTTTTAAGTCAAAAGGGAAATGTATGTACAATTTACTACATGTTTGAACGAATTAACTTTAAAATTCTATACTATAATATTCCATTACCATTTTGCAACAAAAAGCAATTTAATAGCATACAGTTTAATCGCGTTTCGGCTTCAGTCTGTGGATTTCTGAATATCCACAGCTAATATAGGTCGATAGCTCATCTTGTTTATATGTTATATGGTTGTGGTAAATCACCTACCATCAAGCGAATCGAAAGAGATAATAAAATTGTATTGGCTATATTATGCGCTGGTGTGTTTGTGTAGGGATTAAATTGTTCCATAACTCTAGGTTTGATTTTGAAAGAAGGGTTTTCCCAAAACTGGCCTTACCGTTAGGATCGAAGACCTGCTCTGTCCACTATTTAAGGCACATTTGAACATTTATAAATTTCCTAAACAGGGCTCACACGTGATGTCTGAATGTGGAAGCTACGTCCTGCAATGGCGTTGCGAGCTCCTCGACACCTCCCACCGCGCAGCTCAGCTCATGTACTTCCACGAGACCCTAGCCAGCCAGCACTATAAGTGAGAACCTCTTAATCTTCAAATCAGGTTGTAAGACCATTCAGCGTCGAAACCAAAGGAATTTTCAATGCTGTTCTTCTAATAAAACTAAATTTTAGCGTGTTCAAAGCAACTAAATCATGTTCAATAATCTCGGAATTACTTGACAATATGCGCATGCGTTATTAAACCTTATTTAGCCATTGGAAGGTTATGCCAATATCAGGCCATTTGCCCTAAATCAACAGCGCGACAATAAAGACACGCGTTTATGGCAACATGAAGTCTATTTTACTTTTTAATAAAACACTTTTACCTTTGCATCCATAACGTCAAGCGCTATTAAAAAAACTAATATATATCGTGTTCAAAACCGTCAAAACTGTTTTATTCAAATATGTACTACTAACGTAAACCACAGATAATACTTCTATTATATATTTAGAAACAAGTTTCACATATTATGCGGGGTACTAATACATTTTTATAGTTCTTCTTCTAGTCTTGGTTTGGTAATGCGACGGCGCTGATCCTACGGTTCAATCCCGTTCGTGTCATAGATTATTTTTTAATTTTAATATGCATACTTTATCGTTTATCAACAGAGGGTCTATGTCGAGCCTGCAGTCGGCGACCAGTGGCTTTTCCTGCCTGAGTAACAAATCGGGTAGCTCCTGCCCGTCCCGGTGATGTGAATTGCCCGCGCCGCCGCACTAAAGCGGAAAGGGGCGGTCCAGTCCATTGTCAAACGGACAACTGTCAAACTGTATCTGTACTGTCAACACAGATTGTTTACTGCATCTCACAAAATAGCTTTGCTTGGAAGATAATTATATTTGGGAAGTGTAAGAAAATAGTATATTTAAGGTAAATAGCTATTTCACGAAGTATATTTACATAATTACACAAATAGAGGCATTCTTTCATTGTTGAGATGTAATAAATTAAATGTTAGTCCCATCTTTAAATGAATTGTACAGCATACGTCCTTATTCATCCAAATTGAATCTCGATATGTATAACCTAGTCAGATCATTTTTTTTTATTTCAACTATTCTTATATCACGATCAACCATAAGATTAATAGAAATTAAAATTTAAATATATAATTGATTCTAGGAAGAGCAAAATATTATCTTCAATGAGGCAACATTTATTTGAAACTAATCTAACCACCGAGATGGGTAATAGAGCATTGTCTCTTTCTCACAATTCCCTAAAAAAAACAGGGACACATACATGGTCCTTAGTAATTTTAGTAAATATGTGTGTCCCATAATGAGAAATTTGCGATTTTTCACGGCAAAACTATTATGAGTATAAAGAAATATTACGCGACAGTCCATGTGGAATTGAAAGCCGTTATCGCTAAGATAAAGTATATTTATGGCCCAGGTCTGCGGCGACGCCGTAAAACGAACCTTAGCGACATAAAAATAAAGTATATTTTCGATCGACTAAGAAAATGTTAAATATGTAGCTAATAAGAAACTTAATTATCGTAAGCATGTGTCAACTTGTAAATATTTTTTATGATTTTAATGGAAAATGTTTGCAGTAGCTCTAGTTGAATTCTTTGTTCTATAATCGTTTTTAGGTCAATGGAGTTTAACTGTTCACCAGACATCTTGAAACGTGTAATGGCGTAGCGAATCGTTCAAAACTATATAATATAAGTATATCCTATTAGCTTACTAGCAATGGTCAATTGTTGGAGTCATTTACGTGGGCAGTTGGTAACAGTTAGTAGCAATTTCGACTTTCCGAATTTCCTTACAAAACATAGCCATATAAATAAAAACTTTCTATGCACATAAGTATAGATTATTTTACTATTTCAGGCTTTTAACATCTGTATCAACGTTTTTGGAAAAATGATATTTGATTAAGCTTTTCGTCCATTTTGTCCTAGTTTCTACTAAACTACTCGAATGTTTGCTACTCAACTGTGAGCCAAAGGACGTAAGAAAAGTATCTCAAATTGAGGTTGTAGATTTCGCCCGGTACGGAACCGAATACATATTTTTCGAAATTGGAGAGTTTGAGAAATATTCACAAAAATATTATAATTAAGGACCCAAAATGAAAATGTGTGTTATTCGAAATTAGTCCTAGTTGTAAGTCGTTAAAGTTGGTTTTCAACATTTAATTATCTCCATAAAGAAATACGATAGGGCCTCAAAATATTTAAGGCATCAATTGCGATGCAAGAAGGCCTAATAAATACAAGAAATAAAATGAATATAGTAATTAGCTTTTAGATGTCGCCATATCAAGTAAATGCAATTGTCGCGTAGGCATTAGTTATTGACGAATAATACAAACGGTGTTAACTTTTCCCAATAATGAGCAAGTAATCTTAAAGTCTCTACATTCCTCGTTTCTACCTTCATAAAAAGGTCTACATTGAGGGTAGTTTAATTTTTTCTATTCTTATATCTGTCCTTTTACCATGCACTTCGAAGGAAGAAGTATGTACTATAATTTTCATACGTACAGTAGTAATGTTTTCCGAAAGTTCATATTTTAATAGGCCAAACGAGAAAAGTTTGTATGTGAGTACCTTTGTATTATTCGCTGTAAATATTTTAGTGTGGTTTAGATGAAATACATCGCTTCAAAATAGTAACAAGTTATAAACTATAGGAATTGTGACGTATTTTTTACATTTTATCGAAATGCATTATTTTGCGAATGAATTTTAATAATAAGTTTATTGTAAGCTAGTATATTTTACGCCGGAAAACATTTTATATTTTTTAATAAAATTGCTTGTCAACGATAACGTTTATTGTCTTTCGCTTTGTACATAATGAATCGAGTGCAAAATATCGACGGACCCGTATGAGTTGTGAATCAGTGCAATTCTATAGGCTCAACACCACTATGAAATGTTATTTATTATAAGAAAATTATGATTGTAGAATTTATTGACTATTAAATAAAATTAAAGAAATGCATTTTTATTATATAAGGACAAGACAACGACCCCGCAACCTTTCACCTAAATAAATTTGTTTTAATGCCCCAGGGCAGTAGATAAGTATGCTCGTGTAAGTACACATCTTTGGATAAAACCTAAATGTATTTTCACGCACGGCTATTTTGTAATATGTAATCGGCGACATAAAGTGAAAATTCATTAGGGAAATCGGTTATTTTTCCATTCGAGCGCTCGTATAAAATTCAAATGTCCAAGGCGTAAAATTGTTAGCTTATCGGAGCTATAAAAGATTTGAGAGACCGTTTTGCAATAAACGTGCGCCAATCGGATTACAGGTGCGCTGTAAAACCCTTATCTGGCCGCTGGGGACGGCTGGACACAGTTTCCGATTGTAAACCTATTGTAATTCACAATTTTATACCCACTTTATTACAACTCGGGTTTTTACTACTTTCCATTTACAAACTTGCATTAACTGCACACCAGGTAGATGCCAATATGTATTGAGGAATAAGTGTACTTGTATATACCTACAGTAGCACCAAATATAATTCAAACTACGAAATGTTCAATATGGTTTTTTTATCTATTCTCTACGTATCGTTGACAGATCCTGAACATTTATAATTTTCCGTTACGTTTAAAAACATTTATATTTTCATATGTTATTTCAAATGATGGCATTTGTATAGTTAAATATCGATTTTAGATTGAAAAATATTTACTTTTTTTGACTGATTATTACGTGTTGGGCCCGGGGCTACAAATACTAACCGGACGTTTGCGGCTAGACCAAGGGTGCCCCGAGGGGGGGCACCGGCCTCGGCTTGGGCCGCCGCAATACGGGTTAAAGCTTGAAGAGCTGGACGGAAGCTCACCCGAGTGAGCGGTACGCGGAGCAAGTTACCTCGGTTTCGCGGACGTTCGGCGCCGGCGCCGACGGATCGCGTCGTGACTAGTGTAAAAATATTTACGACACGTAACTTGGACAAGACTTGCGCCGGCATGATTTTTGTAAGCTCCAAAGCATACGTCATTGAGCCTTAATAAGCAAGTGTTAAGATTAGAATCACAATGAGCTAGAAATGCAATAGATTGAAAAATTTGACGCTTATTTCTCTCTTTTTTAATTTTAATCAATCTTCAATCGCTTGACCACCAGATGCTCTATTTATTGATTAAGCGTGTCGCCCCGTATATTATTTCGACTGTACAATCGAGAAAATCGGGAGACGTATTAAAAAGGAAAGGTTCGTATCGCGGTGGTTAAATTGCTAGAGCAAGCAGGCATTACGCGATGGTTCGCGCCTCGCCGAGTCTATTATTTTTTTATTCAACATAAACATGAAATTTCTTTTTTGATGTTAGTTGTTCCAAAAGCCTTTTAAGCACCAGATATTAAAAACCTAGCCTCCCCTCTGGCTACCGTAGAATTGATTGCGGTGCGTTATCGTGGTACGGACCGCATGGCAACAAAACTATCGTCAATATAACTAGGACACGTAGTTTAGTACCTTTGAACTAACTATAATACTCGGTTTAACTAACTTAGACGTATAGAATAAGTATATAAATGATTATAGAATTGTAATCTAATATACCGTCGCGGACAATTTTTTAGATCAACGAGAGCAACGAGTCGTGGGTTCGAACCCACGTGGTCCAACATGTTGGACATTGTCTGGAAATCTGGATATTAAATAGGTGATAGGAATTCACACCGTCCATAGTCACAGATTTTACCAAGCAAGCAAGCCTTGCTTAAAAAACATGCTTCTAACTATTTTTGAACTTTTTAGCAACATTACGTCGAACATGATAGGCATGAGTGAAACATGACATTAAAGTAACAGGCTCTACTGCAGGTCTTGACAAGTGCAAAACAATACAGGTTGATAGGAACTGCTTGGATCGATATAACTATATCTCACTTCTAAACATTTTGCTCTTCTCTATGTCTCCCTTGTAACATTGTAATTGTAAACATTTCTACGGCGAAAAATATAAGTAGTTCTTCTTGGTTTAATCTTAAAGTTGTAGATCGGTCTTTCACGCTCTTAGGGTAAGGGAAAGGTAACAGTAATATATTGCCTTAAACACTCGCAGTTCGGACAATTTTGCATCGAACGTTCCTTTTAAACCGAATGTTCAGTTTCGGGTTGCAAGGCTCGCGTTTGGTCCACTCTTGTTATTAGTAAATTATCGACGTTCTCTGCGGTGGAAACGGTGCGCCAAGACGACACGAGCCTGGGCGAACAAACTAGTTCATTACACAGTTTGTCCACCCGCTCGGGTCGACGGGCTCACAACCAAGCATTACAAACGAGAAAGGTTTCTTCCCATTTCATAAATGTTCTTCTGTTTGAAAAAATACCTACATGAAAATAAAATCCTTGATTTACCAACATAAAACTATTGAACAACTCACCTAGTCACCAGATTCCTTTCATTCGAACACGACAATGTTAGAGCTATTTTAGTAACATTATAGCTTTTGGGACCTTTTCGTGACTGTGCAGAAGTTTCTCTATTTCTATAAAAATATTGATCATTCATTGAATATTCATGAATTTTGTTCTAGGACTGAAAATAATTAACTGGAATATTTACTTTTAGTTCATTTCATTGATATCTCCTAATTTAATTATTTATAAAACAAATGCACTCAGTTACATTAAGCCCCATTGCGCAGTGCGCCCGCGCCCGCGCACCCGAACCGAACTAACTTGAAAAACTAACTATAGTTTGCACAAGTGTTTTCAGAAACAATTGTAAAGGACTTTTCTACTATTACTTTTGTAATGTTGCAGTTCATCTACGAATTTCGTAGTTCTTACAAATTCTTAGGCACGACAAATTTGACTAGTAGTTTAGTGTTTTGCTTACTTCTGACGCTTTCTATTTAGTTTTGTCTTAACTTGTGTTGTTTTAAAAATAAATTAGTAACATACAAATTCAAAAGTTTATTCGGAACACCTATATGTGACTAAATCCCAGCTACTGTGATTTGAAGCTTTTTCTATCTCTTTTTTTAGCATTCTATCTGTTGCTTATTGATTCTTATTGCAATATAATTTTAAGTAAACTAAATAAAAATTGTAACATCTCGTCTCCTACTTGAATATTCTACTACATTTTTTTGCCTTTATGGCATTATTCAAAAAGCCCATTTCCAAGTTGTACAGCAACGCCCAGTATTAATACAAGTGCACAAAGTTACGACCCATATACAGCCTGCGCCTGCGCTGCTTTATCAATGTTGATAAACTGTTCTCTCGGATAAGAACAGCGAGCGTGAAATCGCACCGAGGTTTTATAATTAGTGCCTAGACTTTGCTTCACCGCTTGTCGATTGGTCACACAAATAGATGGGCAATTTCTTGTCTTTAAAAACAACATAGAGACTAAAAAAATGAAGTATCTTGAAACAATTCAGTTCAGCTTAGCATGATCTACATTTTTTAAATTAGTTTGTTATGGCTTAATAAATTTAAAGTTATGCTTTCTAGTGAAGAGACACATTGTCAGCTTCTAATGGAGTTGAGAAAAATTCATTATCCAGAAAAAAAAGAAACACGAACATTCAAATACCATCACTGATGAATCTATGATCACGATGCATCTGAAAAAAATATGTACATTTTTATATAGGTATATTTTTGGCCTAAGATGGTTTTCCTTTTTGGAAAAAACACCCTTTTCAAACTTATATCAAAAAGTTATTAGGTTCTTGAGGAACTCGTAAAGTCATTTGAGTTTTCATGAAACAGGCGCATTCAAAATATATGCTATACATATACTAAATTATTTATTTCTGCTGCTGTTGCTTCTTCCTGTTAATATGTTTTCGTATTTTTTGTATAAATTTATTTTTTACAAGTGTACACTGTACAACAATTCATGACAGCAGTGATACCAGCGTTACAAACGCCTGTTATAAAATTTTAGCAATACTTATATAAAAAAGTTTGCCAACCGGATTCTATCATTTCTATTGTTATGAAATAAGTATGTATATACATATAATAAGTCTATCGCAAAGGAATTTTTCTGTAATGGTAGAATATGTTTATAATGAAATAAATAAATAAATAAAATATTTAGTCGAATTAAATAAGATATTTATTGTTATCCTAGTAAATTAAATTTTGTGATTTTTAAAATTTGATAAAATTATCGTTTTAAATAGAACATACGTTTACTTTATTTTTCCTACTGTTTGACTCCTGTAAAGATGCTAAATAACACGTTGGTAAAACAAATATACTCGATATAAAATTAACACGTTCATATTTGTTACGAAAATATTACCACATTCAATATTGTTAGATAAACCTCACTAATGCTAAAATACGACGTATAAAGGTAACGGTATGTCTTTATAATATTTAGGCGCTCATACCCATTTACTAACAGTTACTAAAGATTAACGATTTGTTAAGTGGTCTAAAGATGAAACAACAAAAATTGAAATGAGTTTTATTTAAAATCGAGTAGGCAATAATTAAAAGATTATTGATTTTGTCATATATGTATAATTTATATTAAGTTTATTATACTTTAATTAAATATATTTTTATCTTTATATTATGATGGCTTTCTTGAATCATTACAGAATAAAATAAGATAAAAATCCATATACAAATTTAGTACTGAATTATAATGTTACATTTTAATGTTATTTAATAGAAAATTAATGCCTTATTCAATATAAAACTTAAACTTTAAATCTCAGAGCGGGAATATTGTTTTCGCACCTAGTGATCTTAGTGTTTGTTTTCGAAGCTGTCAAATTATTATAATGACGTTATAGATAAAATATAGAGGTCAAATGCTGACCGAGCGTTATCGCAAAACGCATAGCACTATACAATGAAACGGGAATACCGGATGCGGGGAAAGACACAAAACTACATCCGTCTCTTTCTCTTCTATTACCTTTCTCGGCGTCCAGTGTGATAACTGTGATTTCGTCTCGCTCGCGCTCGTAGTTCTATTCAGTATTCACTTAACATTCGTTGTTTGTGGACGTTCCGTGCGAGTTATGTGACGAGTTCAAAACATTTTAATAAGATGATAGTTCTCCGATGCTTGTGGTTGTGTTATGAACGAGAGCTGAGTTAGGCGTGTTCGGTGCCAAGATGGGGAGTGCTAGATACTGCATTGATGTAAGTTACTAAGATCAAGTTAACAATTACTATAAAGTTACGCTTTGCAAACAAAACAAATAGTTCAGTTAAGGAATTTAATATGTAACTTAGTTCTGTTGCAGACATTTTTTTATATTTGCATGGTGTATGGCATCCAGAAGTGGAGACTATTTTTTCTTTCTAAGTTCTCTAAAATTAATTTAACGAACCGTTAAAAAGCCTACCCTCAAATATTAACTCAACAATGTTGTGTTGTATTGTTTTTAAATACATATGAATGAGTTATCCTTATTAGTCATAGTTTCTCAGAACCGGTCATTCAGAAAACAATGAAGTACCGAGTTATTGCGTCGATCGTTAGAAATATTGAAAGTAACTGGGACTAGAAAGTGTTATCGGTACACAGAGATCTGGCGCGACCCCAGAATCCGTCTATATTTACATTTTCATGACATTCGCTATTTATTGCTTTTTATCGTGTCCGCGATGTCACGCCCGTACTTTTGTGTATTTTCAGTCAAACAAAGGAACGTCGAAATGAATTTAAATAAAACACTTTAAACAGTTTAAAACGCGATAAGTTAAACACTAACCACGACTGCTGCAGAGCAGCCAAACGTACCGACATTTTATCTAGGACCTTTTGTCATTTAGGTAAGCCCAGGCAACACGTTAACCATTGCTCTACAGTATTATTTTAATGACAGAACATTAGATCCTTGGTTAATTTTTGTTACTCAGAAAAATGTTCAAATTTGTTCTTAAGGTATTTTAAGTGATACTCTTTAAGGACAGAAAAGATCGGGGAAAGGGACTTTAAAAATACTATAACAAAGCAATGAAAATACTTAGAGCGAGAGATATCGAAGGAAGGACTAAATAGAGAAAATATTTTAAATTTATCTCTTCCCTCCAATTTATCTCCGATAATTCTGCACGGGTCTCTTGTGGTTCATTTAGACGTTATCTTGGGCGATATAATATTTCGCGGCGCGTGTATTCACTTAGTACGTAAAAGTTAGAAACACCAATTGTCTAATTGTGGTTTAAAAAAGGTACAATTACAAATGGCTCATAAGATTAGGACAGAGGGTTTAATGCTGGCTATTCGTGATGTTCATAACAATGTTCTCTTCGAAACCGAGATTTTTTTTCCCAAATTCCGAATCAAGATTCCCACGCCCGGGCTTGGAACTCGCTATGTCGTAGTTTGCAGTCGATTGCGCTAAACTCATTTTTTTTTAATTCAATTAAAAAGATAAACCATTAAAGGATTAATACTCTGTCCAAGTCGCAAAGAAAAGCTTTTAATATACCATTAAAAGTTTTAATCACAAGTAGATTCTAATTAATAATTCTAATGGTGTTTCTAACTGCGTATAATAATTACTATCTAATCTTAATAATGTAAACACGCTTTTCTCAGACTCAAAACAAATAGCTTTATCATAAATGTGTTGAAATAATTACTTTGCACATTACGTCATAAGCAAGTAAGGAATTAATTAAAAATGTTTTAAAGGAACTTGCTTTTTGAAGAAATTCAATAAATTTAATTAAACTCAAATTAATCCAATAATAAATTCAGGAAGGGCGATGTAATGAAAAATTAAATAAAACTGTTCTTATTAAGTAGTTAGAGGTAAGTGATAGTAGTAGTTACTTTTTAACGTGTATCTTAATTATTATTTGACGGGCTCGTTGGTGCAATGGTAGCAACGCGTGGCTCGTGGGTCGTAGGTTCGATGTTCACCCGGTCCAACAGTATATATGTTTTCAGAATCTTTATGTTAAAAGGATGATAAAAAATATTAAAATTCTGCCCGGGTCAGGAACCACAGTTGACAAAGTCGTGAAGTTTAATCGCTTTTCGTCTTCAATCTGTAGATTTCCTAATATCCAAAGGCAAAAATAGGTCGATAGCGCATTCGTCAAGGTCCTTTCATTAAATGAAATCTATGTTTGTCAGTCCTGCTCTATCACACGGTCTACCTGTCCCTTTTTCTCTCGATTAAATACCTAAGAAGTACCTACTTCTTCCCATTTAACGTAACCTCTATGAAACATGCTGTTTATGCGAACCTTCATATTAATATGATTTTAAATAGTCTTTTATTGTAATTACTAATGCTTTCTGCGATTTGTCTACAGGTATCGTACGCTAAAATACTACCGAATTTTGTTTGAAGTTAAAATAATAAGTAGGAAAATGCAATTATTCATGTCGTTTTGTGTGATATTAAAAGGTTATATAAAATATAAAAATATCTCCTGTGTAGTGCTGAGTTAGCATTGAGACCAATGGCGTCTGACTCGGGTTAATGCCCTTAAAAAAAGTGATTGATTGATACTTTGACAGGACGACGGCTTCACAGAGCCTCGAACAAAACTATTCATTACCTACCGAAATCGGCGTGAAGCTATTCAATATAAAACATAACTTGAAAATAGTAATTCCGCCTAAAAAGTTTATTATATTCATAAAAATAAAATACTGTTTACGCGAGTAGGTAGTACACATTTAAATTATTTGTAAATAGGTAAGTAACTAATATATTTCGCGTTTTAAACCGTTGAAGTGCTTTATTAAAATAAATATAGTCTAGTCAGTTATTTGTCATTGTAACTCACTCGTTATGACGCACAGATGGTAGAGTTGCGAGTACAAAACAATGAGATCTTTGGTCATCCGAAACATCGGGCGGTAGTTAAAATAAATTATAAAAAATAACAAGTACATTTAGCGTTTTAAACGGTTGGAAATGTTGTATTTAAGTACACACTTCTATAAAGGTAGCAATTTGATATTTTCCTTAACGAGCCAAAGAATGTTTATAATTACCATGATTGGCATCTATACTAATATATAAAGCTGAAGAGTTTGTTTGCTTGAAAAAATCTTTTTGTGTTGGTTAGAGCATTTATCGAGGAAGGTTATGGGCTATAACATTGCGATATGACTTATAGGAGCAAAGATACAGCGAGCAATGTAAACAAAACGGGGGAAATTTTTCATCTCTGTAGGTTTCAGATGCGTACACTGCGAAAACGGTTCGAGATACCTAAAAATTGCGTCTGAAAGAACGATTCCCCTTTACATGGTCTAAAAAACAGTCCGCGACGCTATATGTCTATCTTTTAAGACTAACTTGCAAGAACGACCCGAACGACGGGACGCGTACGACGACATTCGAATATCGTGGGTAACAGCTATCTATCTAAACTAATATTATAAAGAGGAAAGATTTGTATTTTTGTATGTAACGGATAAACTCAAAAAGTACTGGAAAGATTTTAATATTTTTTTTTCATTAGACAGCTACATTATTATTGAGTAAAATAGACTATACTTAGTACTAGATTACGATAGAAATCTTTAGAAATTAAAAGCAACCGGAGTTGTAAGAGTGGGAGTGAGAGTGAGAGTGTGGCGGCAAAGTAGCACTTGCAACATAAATTGGCTGCCTTAAATGCGCCCTTACATAAATAATAAACAGCCTAAATAATTAAAAACTCTACCCCAAGTCACTATTCCACGTGGACGAAGTCGTGGGCACAGCTAATTTTAAATAAAGTAAGTCGGAGGTAGTTTTAAAATTACCTCGGACCAGGAAAATGTTTCGAATATTTCTTTGAGGGCTGTGATGATTCTTTTAATATTATCTCTAGTTTAAACAAACTACAATGAACAGTTTAATAGGCGAAATGTATTAGGTATATATAATCCTTAGGGACATTAGAGATGCCACCATCGTAAGTCCTCTCATAACCACAACTGTTGCGAAGCCAAAACGTCGAATCGTAGTTAAAAAAGAAAGTTAACGCAATATTGTTCGTTTTAAACCGTTATTTTTGTTAAGAGTGGAAACATGGAACTGGGATTCAATTGATTGAAGGTGTAATACATCAGCCAAACAACATCTCTACAAGGTGCCTTATCTATCGATTTTCATTTTGGACATTCGACAATCCACGGACTGATTAAACTTTGGCTTCTTTATTTTTCTTGTTCTTCTTTCTTAACCCGGACGGTAGTGATTGTGAACTACCTACATACAATCGCGTTTGGTAACCTCTCATGAAATGAAGCCCGTGCATGTTTATTCTCTTCTTAAAAATATATACATTCATATTTCGTTTATGGTGCTGTTGAACGAACAGTCTATTCAGTGGCTCCATATAGCCCAGGCCAGGAAGGAAGCGACGTCCTATGGAGGATGTCTTTAATTCCAGCTCGTTACTTCTCCGGCCATACTTGCTCATACTCTCAAGGTAATTTGCCTGACGCACAAGCAGTCATAGTTTTAGTGTTGGACATTTTTATTTTTATTTATATAAGGTAATCCACATTAAATATATGTTAGGGGCTCCAATTATAAGAGCTACAAGTCCAACCGAAGTCTAATATAAGTATAATATTAGTATTAGTATAAAAAAAGGCATGAGCTTTAACAATTTTTATTATAAACTTGATCATCTGTAATTAAAGAACCAGGATTTCCTATTCTGTTCAAAAATAATAAAAAGAGCTCCACTTGGCGATTGTTAGTCTACCGTCCGCATTTTACCTAATTTTAAACATGAAGGCATTCTTAAATAAAAATAAAAAAGAATTGAACAGTATAAACAAATTTCTTAATTTGTCTACTCAGATTGTTGAAGCGAGAGGCGACACGGAGGGCACAGTGCACGCGACCGGTCATCCTCAATGAGATAATTTGATTGTGTTCAACAGTTAGTTTGCACAGTCTACTTACGAACAGTTGGGTTTAAATCACAAAGTTGTAATGCTGCGTTGTATTCCACAGTACAAATATTTAGAAAAACAGCAGATAGCAATCCGCTTTAATTTTACAAGTTTTATTTCAGGCTGTCATTTCAGTTCAAATCAATATTGATCAAGCCGTTTGGGAATAATAAATTGTATGGTAAAATTCGATCTCCACATATTATTAAAAAAGTATTTCTATGAAATAAATTGTACTTATAGATTAATTCGTATGAAGAACTTTGTAAAT